TGTGAATATTGATTAAAGCATTAAGTTGGCAATTAATGATTTATGAAATATGATAAAAAATGTAGAGTTTAAAACCTAGCGAGGCCAAAACATATGAAAAAAAAAACAAATAGAATACCACCTTAATATATATTTTTGATTTCAATTAATCATGTATTATCAAATTGTCAGTGCCTGTTAATACCATATACAATTATATCTAATTATTAGTTGGCGGCGAAGCCGCCACATAATCATGTACTAATTCTATTTCATAAAAATAAGTAAACTTAAATCTCATAATTATAATTAAGTAAAAACATTATATTATATTAATTGATAATGCATATTATTAGAATTTGGCGGCGAAGCCGTCACATGTGCAAGTTCTACTTTAATAAAAATTTGGTTTAGTAATATTATTACTTTGATTACTTTGAAATGACTTATAACGATAAAACTTGGATTTTGCTTCCAGTATATATGACATAATGTAAAAGGTCGTAAATGTTGTAAAAGAATTTTTTGATTTACTTTGAATTTAGGCAAATATTTGTAAAATAGTTATAGATAAGCTCAAAAAAAAAAGGGGATGCAAACAGGTTACGCCTTGGAACCGGAAATATTTGTGCACTTAGAAAGAGTGTGCAATTACAGAAATAATATAAAGAATAATATAAAAGCTGAATAACATATTGTTATACCAGGAACGGAGTTTTGTGGAAGTAAAACAAAGGATATAACAATATATCAGGAACAAAATATATGATTAATTTAAGTTTTGCGCATGTACGTCGTATAGTTTATATCAAGGTTCATTTTAAGCTACATTATGATAGTGTGGTGAAGAGGCTCACTGAATGAAAGGAACTGTATTTTTATATTGCATTGGTTAAATTAATTTCGTAAAGAGCTTCGTCATTTAATGTCCCGTATTCTCATATTTGAAAAATGGTTTTAAATTTACTTGCGTAATTTTTTTTCATGTCTGATCCGGAGCAATGACAATAGACAAAAAAAAAATTCATTGCCGTATTTTTTTTCTTAAAAAAAAATATATCCAAACAGAATTTCGGTATCACTGCATAGAAATATACTCAGAACAAGCCATTTGAATGAAACACTTCCATTAATTATGTTTTTCATACTTTAAATATACAGGATGAGATACAGTAATAAAAACATCAAAAATAATAAATATAATAAATTCTATTGCGTATTGGGGTTCAAAACCGCACCGCAGTTCCTTCAGAGGCGGAAAGTTATAACATAAATTTATATATTATCTAGGGATAATTCTAACATCTAAATTTTTGCAAATAATAATACCTGTTGAGGTTTCAACATTAAGAGGTGCTTTCATATCTACAAGTTCTACATTAAATTTTCTATAAAGTAAAACCAAAAATATTTTCAATTCCATCATTGCAAGGTTTTTACCTAAACAGTTTCTTACACCTCCACCAAACATTGAAAACGCAAATTTATGTTGATTTTCCACTGCACTAGGGTCGTAAAATCTTTCTGGATCAAATTTTTCTGGATCTTTCCAATAAAGTGGATTATTATTAATTCCACGAGTATACATGACGAATAAAATGTCTGATGGCCATTTATATCCCGCTATTTCTTCAGGTTGTTCAAGATATCTTGAATTCAAGCTAACTGGAGTCCTTATTCTTGACGTTTCTTTAATAATTGCTTCACAATATTTAAATTTATTTAGGTCTTTAATCGTTACTGCTCTATATGGATCATCTTTGAAAACCGTTTCAATCTCTTCCAATAACTTCTTTTTAACGTGTGGGTGATGTGAAATGTAATATAATACAAAACAAAATGTATTTGTCGTCTATATAAATCAATAATAAATATCATTCATAATTATTAACAAATTAAAATCTTTCAAAATTAAAAGTGATTGCATAAGGTCAGGTGTTTATCAACATCCAAATTCACATTACTTACAGAATCTGTGCCAGCCATAAATGCATCAAACATTATACCGCGTATTTCATCATCAGTCATTGGCCTTAACAATGAAGGGTCAACATTTTGTTGCGGTGTAGTTTCATATGGTGTGTTGGCAACAATCATTGAAGTTAAAAGATCATTCTTTAATTGTGATTGGTCAAAGTTGCTACTATTAACAAGTTTTTCAACTTCTTTTCTTCTTTTTCTAATCATCTCTACCAATCTTTTATATATATCATCAAACATATGCACGAATTTATTCACGCGACCATTAATCAAAGGAAATGGTCTTAAAAACTTTGGTATAAATATCATATGACCATCCTTATTGAAGCTGTTTAAGCAATCAATAAAATGTTCGGATTCCATTATTTCTTTAGTAACTTCGTTTGTTTTTAATTTGTGATAATAATTTTTAATCGCAAATGTACGATTTCCAGTTGTAATTGCGGAAATAGAATCATTTATAAATCTTGGCATCCAAGCTGCTGCATCAACATTTGCAAAGTTCTCATCAGGTTTTCTCAAATTCATCCAATAATCCATCATTTCTTCAAATATATTATTTACTTTTTCAATAGTTTCGTCAGAATAACATGCTGTCCTAATGGCGCGTGAAAATATTTGACGATTAAATTTCCAAGAATTATAATTATGATTTAATGTAGTACCTTTACATAGATCAAGCATATCTAAAAATTCATTCTTAGGAATTCTCATAAAATGTGTCTTGTGATTGTCTTCTGATAATGGTGTTATAAATTTATTAACGTATTCTGCCCGAGTGATTATTATTTGTCTATTGCCAATAAGATTTAATTCAAATATTCCATTTTGTCCATATTTTTTAGTTAATTTAGAAAACCATGCATCATTATCTTTATTAGCTCTAAAAATTTCAAAAGTTCCTAACAAAGGAATTGGTAATGGACCAGGAAGAGGATTCACACGAGTAAAATATTTGTAATAAAAACGAAATATGTAAAAACATATTGTCAACGAAAATATTTTTACAATATCAGTTATTTCAAGGCTATTTAGAATTTTATATAACAAATTCATGGTTATATGTTATTGTGTTAGTTAATGTTGCTGAAGATTTGTTTTTTTCTTGCTTTAAAAAATTTATCGTTTTGTCTTTATATATTTTAAATCTTCCTAATAAAAAAATTAAATAAATCAAAAAGCATAAAAATTTATGCTTATTATCGTCATATTAAATTTAGTCAACATAGAATAAAAAATTTTAAGGCTAATGATTTTGGACATCAAACATTTATCTATTTTCATAAATTCATAGAATGACGCTTAATACTTCACAAAAAAGCGGAACAAATAGACTACAAAACCTGCATTTCTTCCCGAAATAATATAAAATTTTAATTTAGCAAAATGAAAATACTAATAGAATGATTTATCTTTATCAGAGATTGTTATCAATATGAAACTAAAAAAGACATCCCTAGATAGACTGGATTTACATATTTATCGTAGACTTAATTGCATGCAACTTTAAAAAATTATTTGTACATAGTGTTCACGCTAAACTTGTAAACATCAGGTCTAACGCTAACACTAAATTTTCTATTTAGAAAAGATAATCATATATTGCACATTACAGTATTCTTAATTTGGTTATTTATTGATTATAGATTTGTTAATGCGGTGAAAAAAAAGATCCGGAAATAAGTTTTCATTCTGCGAATGATCGTCCACCTTGTGATGATATTTAGATAATCTTGCTATTTGTAGCATTTGTTTAAATGAAAGAATAATTTAGTCATTATTCTTAAATACGGAAAAAATTTGATCATATTATTTTTTCGGATCTTTTTTCGACCACTGAGTATTAGGCATTTTATATATGATTGATGGCCTAGTGCGATCTTCACGTAAACGCGACTATACCAAAATTGACAACAGGTGTCAAAACAGAAGGTTTGCGTTAAACTAAATTAATGATTTATATAGGTGATGCTAAGAAAAACAAAAACTCTGGACTC